CACCCCCACCACTCATTTCCTGACGTCTTCATCTCAGAATCTGGGCGCCTGGGTACCAGCCCCCACTGGACACTCCCCTATAGAGAGACATATTCAGGCGGGGTGACCTGGGGCATGTGATTAACCTCTCTGAGCCTCAGTGAAGTGGGTGGTGGGTCAGCAATCCTGATGCATGACTGCTGTGAGGTGATAGGTGATGAGTGGCAACCCAGCATGTACCTCGCACACAGTAGATGCTCATTAAATGGCATCCTTGGCTCATTCATGATGTCATGAGGGGATGAGGGCTCCCCAGGACAATTCATGTCTGATTCCTTTCCAGGGGACGTCCCCAAGCCCTCCATCTGGGCTGACCCAGGCCCCATCATCACCAATGGGAGACCCGTGACCATCTGGTGTCAGGGGTCTCTGCAGGCTATTGCCTATGTTCTGTATAAAGAGAAGGACTCTGAGCCCTGGGATACGAGGATCCCACAGATCTCCAGCAACAAGGCCGATTTCCTCATTGGAGCCACGACCTCAACCCATGCAGGGCTGTACCAGTGTGCATATTACAGCACTGAGGACACACTCTCAGAGCTGAGTGAACCCCTGTTCTTGGTGGTGACAGGTAAGGGAGTCACTGGGTCCCCTCCCTACAATGGGCTCAAGGTCACAGGCAGAAGAAATACAGTGTGGGCTCAGGAGGACCCCAACCCTCACACAACACATCTGGGGCATGAGAGCAATGGTCCCTTCAACACAAATCCTTTCTCCTCCCTCAGGAATGTACCCTGCACCCTCCCTCTCAGCTCAGCCAAGCCCTGTGGTGGCCTCAGGAGGGAACGTGTCCCTCTCCTGTAGCTCACAGTTCACATCGGGCCCTTTCCTTCTGCTGAAGGAGGGAGGGGCTGACCCGCCCCGACACATGGAAGCAGAACCCAGGATGCACGCTGGGAGGTGGCGGGCCATCTTCTCTCTAGACCTCGTGAGCCCGTCCCATGGGGGGACCTACAGATGCTATGTTTCTCCCAGCTTCAACCCCAACGTGTGGTCACAGCCCAGTGCCCCTCTGCATATCGAGGTCACAGGTGAGTAACTGGCCCAGGTGCAACCCCATCTGTTTCCTGGGCTCAAATACCTGATATGAGCTGTGTGCCCAGCAGAGCCCTGGGTTCATGGGGTCAGTGACACTGGCCTCTTGAAGACAGAGCCACAGGCCAGAGGCTCAGGGAGGGACATGTGAGGCCTCTCACTGCAGCCCAGTGGGCAATGGGGGTGTCCCCTGGCTGACACTGTCCCCGCCTCCCAGGTGTGCACAGGGAGCCTACCCTCTTGGCCCAGCCAGGCTCGCTGGTGCTGCCTGGACACAGCCTGACCCTCCAGTGCCACGCGGAGGCCGGCTTTGACACATTCGCTCTGACCAAGGACGAGGGACTCACACACACCCAGCGCCTCGATGGGCAGCGCAGCCCCGACTTCCCCCTGGGCCACGTGAACCGCACCCACGGAGGCCGGTACAGATGCTACAGTGGACACCACCTCTCCTCTGTGTGGTCAGCCCCCAGCGCCCCCCTGGACATCCTGGTAGCAGGTGAGGAGCCAGCCCTGCCCCTGTCCTGAGGGTCTGCTCATGGCTCTGGGCCCAGGTTCACCTGAGGATAATGGGGTCCGGGAGAGGGGCCTGGAGCAGAGGCTGAGCTGGGCAGAGGCCTAGGGGAGGGAGGGAGAAAGGGGTTGAGGTCATGGAGATAAACACACCACCTCAGGGGGACTGAGAAGAGCTGGAAGGTGTCACAGATAGAGTCTCTGGAGAAGGACAAGGTCCCTCAGCTCTATAGAGAGAAGCATCCTGTCTGTGGGTATCACACTCTATGGCCCCCTGTGCTCACCTGGAGGCCTCCCAGCCCTCAGTGCTCACCAGAGAACAAGGAGGGACCCTGCAGGACTCATAGAGACATGGGGCCTCCTGCCCAGACACTGCATTCCCCTCTGCTCATGTCTCTGTGCACATGGGTCTATTATGGCTCTTTTTAGAGAACCTTCAGGCAATACTTCAGTCTATAAGCTCACAATTTAACTCACCGTATATGAAGTCCAGATTGAAATATAAACATTCTATTCCTGTTTTCATTGGGAGTAGATTAAATTCAGACATTTGTTATGGCCAACAACTTATTATTTATACAAAGTCTTCTTTTCACACACATTTTCAAATGAGCTTTATGAATGAACCTTAGAAGCACGTGATAACTATTTGTAAATTGAGTAAATGTACAGCCACTTACTAGAGAATTCTACCTCGAACATAGTAATTTGTGAGTAACCTGCTTGATTCCTGTAGATTTTCTAAAAGATAGTAAGTACACATAGGAAAGCTCTTGGTTTGGACATACTCACATCAGGACCTGATAGCCTCCTGTGGACTGTTTTTCAGTTGGTTCCTCTGATATAAAATTATAATCCCCAGCAGTCAAAGGAAATGTCATTCTTTATTACCGATGGCAGACCTACTTTTCTCACACCACGTCCCATAGGATGGACTGACAGACCAAAATGGGCAACAGCTTCCCCTCGGGATAACAGCTTCATTCACACCCAAAGTTATGTCAAGGCAAATCCATTTACAATTTTTCATTTTATATTGAAAGCACCTTTGGCCAATTTGTTCCAATCCATTCTTCTGTTTCATTAGGTTGTATTAGGAATGCTCTCTTTGCCTGACAGATGCACATCCCCACATAATTATCTTTTCTCTGACTTTTATCCACATGACACACATTACAAAGGCTTCTTGGTGTTGCCCATTTGGATATTAACCCAACTGAGTGACGCTGATCATCCATGTGCATTTTCTGAATTGTGGAGCTGACACATAGAGTTATTGCATGGATCACTGTAACAAGGAGAGATCAATAATTTTAATATCTTGGGTTTTATAGCAAAATAGGGTTACAGATTGACATAATTTCCTACTTTGGGTGCTCACTCAATAATGAAATTAGGGGGATTTTCTCTGTAACTTAAAATTTGAGCCAGAAGTGTGGACGTCTTTGGTTATGGCCTTTGTTGTACTTTGAAAATAAGGAAATGCTCACACCATTAGCATCCATATGGCCACATTTTTCATTTGATAGACATATGCACCACTGTAGGTATTCATTTGTATAATTGTATAACAAATGAGCTAAACCATAACTGGTTTGGCTCAGTGGACAGAGCGTCGGCCTATGGACTGAAGGGTCCCAGGTGTGATTTTGGCCAAGGGCACATGCCCGGTTGCAGGCTCAGTCCCCAGTAGGGGGTGTGCAGGAGGCAGCCAATCAATGATTCTCTCTCATCATTGATGTTTCTATCTCTCCCTCCCTCGCCCCTCCTCTCTGAAATCAACAAAAATATATTTAATAAATAAATGAGTTAATAGAAGAATCAATAGATGAACAATTTCAGGTGATGATGAAAATGCATACACCAGAGAGGAGGGGCCTGGGCGGGGTGGGGTGAAGGAGATCCAGTCCAGACTTTCACCCCTTCATGCTTCTGAGATTCAGGAGCCCCTGGCACGAACCCCTCCTCCATGGACTCTGGGTTTCCAGCTTTTGAGAACTGGGGATCTCTCAGCTGTAGGGGAATAAGCTCATGGGGTTTTGGGTTCCAGGTTGAACCACAGAACACACAGCTCTTACTTATTTCTGAATTTTGATCGTATCTTCTCTCACCCTCAGTTCTCAGCGAGAGCTCTTACAAGGTGACACAGAGCAGGTGCTGAGTTCAGACATCACTGAGATACTGATGTGAAGGGAAGGTGTTAGCCCAGGGAAGACACCAGAATCCCAGAGGTTTGGGTCTGCCCTGACCGCAGAGACTTCTTTACCCACACTTCTTATTTTTCCATCCCCAAGACTACAAAGTGGAGAATCTCATCCGGATGGGCGTGGCTGGCTTGGTCTTGGTGGTCCTCGGGGTGCTGCTATTTCAGGCTCCAAAGGACACCAGAAGGATCCTCAATGCAGCCAGGATGTGAACACAGAGGGAACAATGCACCGTTCAGAGTGACAGAGGCTTGGAGCCCATCTGATGACCCCAGGAGGTGCTGAAAGAGAATGTGGACCACAGTTGGGGAAACTGTCTGCTGAGAATGTCCAGAAGAGAAGGCGTGAGAGGCACGTTTTGGGTGCAGGAGAACGTGGCTCATGTCCCTGTAGAGGATGCCCCCTTCATCCACCTGGGATGCTCTCCCTTCCTCCCTCTCCTCGCTCACCCTCCTCCACTGCCCTTCTGTTCTGATCCTGTGATGTGAGGGTCCATCCCACATGACTAGTTTAGATTCACATCTATACACCCCTTCATGCTGGGTCAGGTCGATCCCAACAAAATGTGGCATCGTCATAACCCTGGGATTGTTTATTTTATTTCATTTTTACTTTTTTAACTATGTTTTTTTTTTATTTTAGAGAGAGACGAAGGGAGAGGGATAGACATTGGAAACATTGAGGAGAAAAAAAAAATCAGCTGCCTCCTGCACGCCCCCTTTTGAGGATGGAGCCCGCCATGCAGGCATGTGCCCTGACCTGGATTTAAACCAGTGACCTCCTGACTCATAGGTTAATGTTCAACCACTGAGCCACAGTGGTTGGGCTGTGGAATTACTTTTAAACCAAGAAGAACTTAGTAAAAA